AGCAGGCCCTAATTTTAGCTCAAACTGCCAATCCTGTAAGGAGAAACAACCGTACACCATGTTTCCCAGCTAACATTTCACTTTTAAATAACAATGCCTGAATAAAAATAGCACACCATGCTCCCCGAGTGAAAGAGAACTGGGTTTAATTTACTCCATAAAGTTTCACAGTTAAACAGAAATGCAAGTTAATCTTTACAAAGAAATGGGGGGGGGAATTAAAAATACAAGAATAGAAACAATCTGAGTTTTGTTTTTAAGGAAAAGCTTTATTATTTGTAACACAGCAACTCTGAAACATTTTATCTAATCCTATTCTGAAACATTTTATCTAATCCTATTCTCCTTCTCCCTCACACACATATTTTAAGGCACTGTTATTTAAAAAAAAACTTTGATGCTGAGAGTTAATGTGTTCTCAAATCATCAAATGTGTTTTCTATGGCAATTTGACCTGGTCTTCTCTCTTTCACACGCACACAAACAAAAGACAAAGCTATTTATGATGTGCAACATAAAACTGCTTGCATAGTTTGTACAATGTAACAAATATGGTAATGTTTAGAGATAATTTTATGCCGCACTGAGAATGAACAGGGTTTTATAAGAAGAGAAGAGACAGCAGTTTAAATTTCTAAAATCACTAATTTCTGGAAGATGATGCCTCCCATCTTGCAGTTAGAAGCTGGATTATGTTGGTAATAGATTAGCTGTAGTTTTCTGGTTTGTGTTACATCTCAAAGAGAGGCAACCCAGACGGCCCCATCCACTTCCCTACCTCAGAGGCAAGACTTTCCCTCCATTTTTCTTTCCCTTTGCTGACTGAGCCACCCTAGTAATGTGTTTTCTTTTTTGCTGAAGAACTCTGGCCGTCCCACCCTGTCACAGAACAATATTTTGGCTGCTTGCTCAGCCCAGGAACCTGACGGAAGGATTGGGAGCCCCCTTTAACTTTAATGGCACTTGAGACTTTTTATATTACAAATTAACAAAATATTTTATCCAACATAGGAGGGAAAGGTCAAGTGAAACCAGGGGTTGAAATTCTGAGGTAAATTCAGTACACGCACAGACTTTAGTTCTTATGTTTCAGGTTAATGAGAGTTTCTTAAGCTATAAAATCTTTATGCCGAGAGGCTTTTGTTGCAGTGCTTTCCCAAGCACTCCAGTACACTTTCTTTGAGTATTCTCTGACTGCTTTGGTTTCCAGAAGGCTGGTGTACACTTTTCAGTACCCAAACCCCTTCTCTTGAAACACCAGTACTCGTCTTGCGTTTTCAACTGACTCTTAAGGTCGCCAAAGGCCGTTTCTAACCACACCAGACCAAGGGTCCCTTCATTCTTCAGAGTTAACTCCCTGTTTGACTGGGTAGGGAAAATTTCTCCCTCAGGGTTCAAAGAGATACTGTACTGAACTAAGCCTCATTTGGAGGTTAGTTTTTCAAAGTGGTGACAGGAAAAACAGCATACAAAAGCTATAGATTCCGTGGGTCAAGATTTCTCCACAGCAAGCAACATCTGAACAGGCCCCCTAGTTCTAATGCTGAATGAATCCTATCAAGGACATTCAACTAGCTTCTCAAGGCACGTTTCCCAGAATACCTGCATGATCTCCTCTCCAAAAATGTGTTAAAACACATTTAAGGGGACCACATACCTCCCCGATTACAGCCAAGATCGCATACTTAGTCTCCACATTCACCAGTGAAAGCCCAAGCAATTGGCTCAGTACATTTAAATAAACAAAGAAGTGAATCCAACGTGTCACACGCACAAAACCAAAAAGGCCTACCAGATGAAGGAAAACATGGTCACTCCCTCCAAGCTAGGGCTGCCAAGTGGGGGTGGGGGGCTGGTAAACCCCTGCTTTGGAGGCCCGATTTCCGCTGCTGCGGAATCGGGCCCCGGGGGAACTCCGCCCCCTGAAGCGCAGTGTGGCTGCATCACCAGAGGTCACGCAGCCACGTCAATCACGTTGGGGGCGTGGCCCCGATCATCGGAGGGAAAACTCTATGGTTTTCCCTCCGACGATCGTGGCCACGCCCCCAACATGATCGACGTCGCGCGTCACTTCCGGGACGTGCTGGCGGCACGCACGCGCATCACAGAAGAGCTCCCGGAGCCTGGCGACGTTCCCCCGCCGGTAAGAAGATTCGACTTGGCAACCCTACTCCAAGCCCTGAAATTATGTTAAGTACTAAAGAACAAGACACATGTCAGAACATTAACTTGCCAAACAGCCTATTTAAACACTACTCTCCCTAGAAGATTCTGGGTTCCCTACCACACCCCACTCACTGTGAGAAGGGTGGCTCAGAGATATTTAAACGTGGGATTTCAATCGTTAAAGAGGATTTTTATCTACAAGGGTCAGGGGATCCCACATTCAAGTAAATTCCCTTCATTTGATCCCTGAATTCTCTGCACATTGAGGGGAGTAGTAGTATGTGGGCCTGCTGGGAGATAGTGAGAATCCAGTGCCTCCAGCTGAGACCTTTTACACATTGATCTGAAAACAGGAGAATTTGAGGTTATTCATCACTGTGGTACTAACTTTGGTGCCAACTGTTTTGGGGAGGGCAGCAAAATACCAGCCATGCTACAAACTACTAAACTGGGAAATTACTGAGTTCCTTCCCTCAGCTTGTCCAGATCAATTGTTGGTGCTTTCCTTTGGCACAGTTTCTGGGAGAACTATAATGGAAAAGGCTAGAAGTTTTTGGAAAAGAACTGGGAGATGGAGAAGAACCCTGCACCCTTTTTAAATAAGGTCATGTGAGTGGAACTAAGGATAGGCCCTATGGGTAGGACAGCCTGAGGTGAAATTTGTGAGGAACATGGCAACTGTGTTCCTCTAAGGCACTTTCTGGAGGTCATGTAGCTTATATTGCTGCAGTAAGAGAAAGGGGTGCGTGAGGGAGCTACAGTCAAGGCCTCTAGCCCTTCTCCTTTATGTGTGTTATAAGAAGTGCCTGGTAAATGGCTTGCTGCAAACATGGCTGAAATAGGGGACGGCCAGTCTCTTGAAAGGCTGACTACTAGAAGCCTATTGTAAAACAAGACATGAGGAAAAAATTAAAAAAATAAGAATTTCAGAACCAATAAATAATTTTGAGGCTCTGGGATGAGGCTTCTACGCTGATAATATAATAACATTGCACCTTTCCCCCAGAGAGAATTCCGGAAAGCAGGGTAAACTGGGAGAACAGGCCATGCAAATGGTCCCTGGTTTCAAAGGCACTAACTCTGATTACAAAACAACAACTAAAACAGTTTATACATGGAGATGCTGGCTCAATCTCCACAGACATAAAAAGGCATACTTGTGCTACCCTTTTAAGTGACTGCTGAGCAAAAGAATGCACAGGCAACCCCACAGGGGTGGCTTATGCAGAAGGCAAGGCATAAACCACCCTTTTCAGTCCGGTCTATACATTATTTGGTCTGCAGTTTACATTGACGGATGCTGTTTTATGGTGCAATAAAGGTTTTTTATGCACTCCCCCCGCATAATATCTTGTTTAACACATTGCAACAATTAAGAACAAAAACAACAACAGGAAATTCAAGTTTTACAGAAACACGCAGCAAGAAAAACCTTTTTTCTTTGACATTTATACAATATTTAGGCTTTTATGGTAGTAAAACATACCTGAACAAAACACAAAAGACAGGCCACCGTTTGAGCCCACGGTTGCATGCTGTTTGCCATCCCTTGGTGAGAGAAGGTAGCAACGTAAAGCAAAAGGCAACTTGACATTCAGACATAAGGAAATCAAGAAATAGTACTGCACTTATGCTAGACGGGATATTTATGCAGCCCAGTGACAGAAATTAAAGGGCTTCACTGAGCAATTTACGTTGTGTAACTCTTGACTTCAGTGGCAGAATGCATCGGTTTACCTGCTCTAGTATAATCCACAGAGGGAGCAATGGGTCTCAGGGTACCTGGGGGAATGAAAAGAAGGATTTTGACTCCCCCGACTCCCTGCTTCCATCCAAGGTTCCCTCGCATGCCTACACAAGGCACCCCAAACCCTTGAAGCTATCTCTTGTTTGTACCCTGCAACCTTGCCCCATACGTAGGATCCATGTGAGCACCATGGTCTACAAATGAAAAGGTACGGTATCGGCATGTGAAATCTTTGGCTATCTTGTAGGGACTGGGTCTATGCACTTCTACCTGCATGCTAAAAAAGTCCAAACTGGGAGTGGCAAGAAGCTTTCGGGCAGAAGTTATTTCAGTGTTCTGGTCAGCTCCTTTCAGCATCCGTTGATCACGGCTGTAGACAACAGTTACAATCCTGAACACAGCCAAGCCACTGGCTTGTCAATCATTTCCACAAGGGGACCTGTTCACTCCTTGCAGTAGGGCAGAACCCTTCCCCAGGTAAGACGGCAGGGCTACAATTTACAGTTGTTCACGGGGCAAGCTACAGTCTACGGTTGTTCACCTGACAGATAATTCTGCTCTGCATGCAGAAAACACCAAAAAGCTCCCTTCTACAAGCCTCAGGAGTGAGAAACACAGCCAAGTTGACAGCTTTTTCCTTCCAACAAGCGTTCCTCCGCTGAGGAGTGGTTGCAAGGATGACAAGGGGGTACGCTGGTACTTCAAGCCGTGTCTGCAGGAATGGCTTTTGGAAGGAACCATCCATGTACTAAACAAGCAGAGTCAAACCACTTGCTCTGTGTAACATGATGCATGGCTCAGCGGTGAAGACCCAATCAGAAGTGACGCAGGCCAGCCATGTCAGTGCATGACCATCACCATGGAAGTTAATCTTTTCACTATGTAACACTCACTCTTCAGCAAAGGGGCCTGAACTACTGAAATCCCCTCTGCCAGCAGAGCTGAAAGCCATTGTTATGCTTTGCATGAATTTTATTTTTAATTGCAATTACACCAGAATGACTGCCTGTGTGTGTGTGTGTGTGTATGTGTACACAGACACACACCCCTAGTTTGGTATGTAAACTCAATACAACATTAGCAGCATGTTCCAGTCCTTCATACTGTAACTAAAGCACTGACATTTTCATAAATGTTCACCTATTTTGAAAATTTAAACGGTAAGGGGGGAGGGGAAAGAAGTCGGCCTGAAATGACAGAAAACACACTCCCGTTTGTCCAGCATTAATCGTTCCCAGCTGTGTGCAACAATAACTTAAAAACTGAGAGTACTGCAGCAAATAGGCGTGGGGAAAATCCCCACCAGGAAGGTCTCCCGTGCAAGATGAATGCACAAGCATAGTTCCCACTCATTTCAACGAGCTGTGCCTGTCTTCTCCCCGGTTCCCTCAAAGACGGACATAATTTCAAATTTCTAAATTTATAAAGGGGAAAAAAAGAGCTAGAAAGCGGTATATACAACAAAGTTTGGGGATTAAAATTCTTGCTTGTCCAGCAAACATAAGTGCCTCAGAATGGCAACACAAGGCATCCATTTATGATGTCCGTTGCAATAAAAACAGGAGGTGTAAAACCACTGGGATGAACAGTCCCTGGTTAAGCTTTCCAAGTCTTCTGTGACGTCTCTCAATACTAGCTTTTTGGTGACCCAACATCCACTGTGATTTTTGTATACAAGGGGAATCTTTCAGTATTTAACACCGTGTACGACAGACTGTTTAAGCCATCCAAATTCATTGTCTCCTTTGTGTGAGCAATTTTGTTAAACCTGTGGACAGAAAAGAGATTTTCAGTTTTGGGAAATTAACTCGCAATCAGCCTATTCAGTCTCTCTCCCACCCCCCACCAAAAATAAAAGCCAATGTTTTATATAGTCTAATGTTCAAATTTAAACACAAAATGTTAGAGACTCTCACAGAACACCAGCCCAGAATCTATGATATTCTATCTTTATTGAATCCTTCAGTTTAAAGGTGGAACACAAACATTCAAGTGTCACAGACTTATTTATTTCCCAAAGCAGCTTACATCATTCTCCTCTCCTCCATTTTATGCTCACAACAACCCTGTGAGGTAGATTAGGCTAAGTGAGTGTGACTGGCCCCAGGTCACCCACTGAGCTTCCATGGTGTGGGTAGGGATTCGAACCTGGATCTCCCAGGTACTAGTCAGATACTCTTAACCACTATGCCACAGTGGCTCTTTATGAGGCAAAAGTAATTGGAACTTTAAAAGACTACTTTGTGTTCCCATTTAGCTTCGAGTCCCAACCGAGCTCGACGTAAGGATGGCGTGTTCATTCACAAATCTGTTCTAGTCACATCTAAACTGGACGCAGGAAGGTCTACATTTTACAAAACTAGGGGTGCCCCCTGTATTTTATTTCTCCTTGCTCTGTCACTTCAAGCGCTCTTCCACCTCCAGCATGATTCTGATATGAGTGGAACGGCAAGAAAAGAATTTGAAGCAGGGGATGGTTGAGCTCCCCTAACTTGTGTACCCTTCTGGTTGTAAACAGCACACCTTTTCCACCCTCCACCTCATTTTAGAGACAAATAAGGCACAGAAGTGAAAGCCCCCACATGGCCCTAAGGTGCATCAGTAGATCAGGTGCATAAAAATGGACATTCCGTACAGAAAATATACAATTAATAGCCCTTTGGCTACGATCACGTGTAGTGTAGTATCAGTAGATCAGACCCGGCTTTATCACTTGCATCCGGCCACTGAACAAAACTGGCTTTTCCGCCCAGCCTGATTTGTGCATGCAACACGGTGAGATGGTAATGAAGTGGTGGGGCACAGAGGTAGTAGAACAGACTGTATCGCTGCAGGGGAGGGATTACATTGTTTAAAGGTCCCCTATGTCCATAACGTCCAGCAAGCAGAAAACTAGCACAACATGCTAGGGGAGCATCTTTCTCCCTCTTAATCTGCATGGAAGCTTTGACATGGGGAAGTACCCCATCGACAGTCCATTCTACCATCTCATTCTCTTGCATATGTAGACCAGGGCCTGAGAAATGCTGTGAAGAGAAGAAAGAGGAGGAGGAGACAGAGGAGATTGGACTTATACCCTTCGCTCGGAGTCTCAGAGTGGCTTACAATCTCCTTTCCCTTCCTCTCCTCACAACAGACACCTTGTGAGGTAGGTGGGGCTGAGAGAACTATTTCGAGAACAGCTCTGAGAGAACTGTGACTGACCCAAGGTCACTCCAGGAACTGCACGTGGAGAAGTGGGGAAATCAAATCCAGTTCTCCCAGATTAGAGTGCTCGCTTTTAATCACTACACCAAACTGGCTCTCAGAAAGGAAAAGCTCTACTAATGATGCTGTTCACATGAGGAGGTGAAGGTCAAAATCCATGGGTCTCGGTTTATATGGGAGAAAGTAGCTTCAGAGCATAATAAGGAGTGAGGGTTCCTTGGGTTCAGATGGAAGCCGGTCTGGTCAATCTATCACGTGCTCATTACTGTTCTATTGTATGGTTGTTAATTTATTTTAGTAGGTCTGATGATATTTTTTAGGTCTGATGATATTTTATGGCCTTGTTGAGCATGACTTGAGGACTTTTTTTTAACAAGGAAGAAAGTATCGGTAGGAGGAAACTAAAGCACGCCATTGAGTTGCAACAAATTCATGGCGACCTCATGAAATTGCACCTCACAGGGTTTTCAAGATAAGAGATGAACCGAGGTGGTTTGGGCCATTTCCTTCATCGGCACAGCAGCCCCACTCTTCCTTGGTGGCCTCCCTTCCACGTACTGACCCTGCTTAGCTTCCAAAGTTTGATGAGATCAGGCTGGTCTGGGCTATTAGGACTGCTACATGTTACAGTGTGTGTGTGACGTGCCGTCAAGTCACAGCTAACATGGCAACCCCGTAGGGGTTTTTCAAGGCAAGAGACATTCAGAGGTGGTTTGCCCTCGCCTGCCTCTGTGCAGCGACCCTGGGATTCCTCGGTGGCCTCCCATCCAAATACTAACCAAAGCTGACCCTGCTGAGCTTCCAACGAGATCAGGCCAGCCTGGGCCATCCAGATCAGGGCACACGGTCGAGTGCAGAGTTTAAATCTAAAATGAAAGGATTGCTCAGTGTGCTGCAGATGTTCTTTGTACTTGTATCTGAATAAAAGGTTTCGCCTACAATCAGATGCTTTTCAGGGAGGGAAAGGAAACAGAGAAGAAAGAGAATATGACTATTCGGAAATGTTTGCACGCGTGGCAGACGCGGTGTTGTCAAGAAGAACTTACCTCTGTGGGTTGGGCTCATTTTTGTTGTCTCTTGAGTGGTGGATCATTCTGCACTTCCCGATGGTAGCATCTGGGCGAGAGATCCCCATGCCTTTAAAAACCAGCCTGCAAAGGCAAACAGATTGAGATGCTGCTGCGTCTCCAGCCACAGGCTATATGAAACAGCATTACTCTCCTTTCTGGTGGAAATAAAAATACACTTTTTTGGCACGACAGAAGTCCTGACTTAGAAAACAAAACAAAACCAGATGGAGGTTAGATTTGGGTGGGTAGCCGTGTTGGTCTAAAGTAGCAAAAAGGAGTCAGTTCTGACACAGATAGGTGTTAGCTTGACACATTCTCATCTCTCAATAAATAAATCACTGCCAAGAGAGTGTTGTTGGGAGTAAGTTTGTTCAAGAGTCTGACAGGTATAAGCTTTTGTGTGCGTGCACCAGGCCCATAGCTAGGATCTTGTGGCTTGTGGGGCAATTTTTTTTCCTGGTGGGGCTGAAGTTCTCAGTGCAGAAAGAAAAGCCAGAACTCTGAGGATTATGACTCAGCTACTGTGGAAACAAACCTTTTAAAATCAAAGCACAGAGGCTTCTACAAATCTTAGCCCCAGAGCAGGACAACAGAAAGGGGTGAGGAGGGGGAGAATACATTTTCTGGTAGATGGTAGGCGTCGGACTGGAAATACTTATCTCAGTTTGGCCAGTAAACTCACTCCAATTTGCATAAAAAACATAAAACTTTATTTACAAAAACAAAGGATAAACAACACATAGATAGGGGCAAGAATGTATACAGTTCAGCAAGGAATGCAAACCAAAACAAAATTAACAAGCTGGCTATTCTACGCACTACTTTTCCTATCACGCCGTAGTTCTGACATCTCAACTGGTGTTCCTGATGAGCAGAGTCTCCAGAAACATAGCAGCAGGGTGGAAGTTGGAAGAGCGCTTTGAGGCAGTCTATTCTATATAGGTGTTCTTAACCATTTAGCCAATGGAAAGCTGTTACCAGGATAGATCTCTAAACTGCAAGCTGTCAACCACTTCAGATGACAATTCTCAGCTGCTGCAAGTTAATCACTTCTGCCAGCCTAAGCAACAATTCTGTTAACAAGCCAGCAGGTGGGGGCGATGACTTCTATACTCAAAAAAGCTAACAGGCAGAAAAACTCTCTTGAAGGAGACCAGTTTCTTGACACAGAGTCAGAAGGTATCCTAGAGGTCACTTACTCCAACCCCTTGCTCAGTGCGGGAATTAGTCAACTACAGCACCCCACTCTACTTAAAGGAGCACACACCTTTAAAAATGTTTTTAAATGATTGAAAAAAAGCCTTTACAGGAGAAATTCTTGTGGGGCTGTGCCTTTAAGAAAGGGGGCAGAGCCCCCAAAGCCCCCTCATAGCTACGGGCCCAGCATGCACACTTCCTCAGATTACTTAGTGAACTCGTGGTTGAGAGGAGCAACAGCATCCTCCTGCCCGTGCTCTCTGCCAACTTATCTAAAGAGGTACACTGCCTCTGGTACCGGAGGGAGCAAACACCCATAATCACTAGTAGCCATTGTGACCAGTAGCCAGTAATAGCCAAATCCTGTGTGTATACACACACTATACACAGGAATTGTGGCTCTCCAGGTACTGTATACTGTCTTACATAAAACTTCACAGTATACGTTCTGAGTACATAGAACCTTGTCTTCAAAAGCATTTTACTCATTCCAAAAGTGACAATATTTTATAGCAGGATTTTTGTTTAGTGCACCTCCAAATCTCCAGTTGTTTCCTTTAAAAATACGCTGGGGGGGGGAAATAGAAGACAAAATCCATCCTCCTGGCCCGAATTTTCCTGGGTTTTCCTCTCCCGGCTTTTGCATCTCTAGAAGCAGGCGCTGAGAAAACAAGTTTTTCCAGGAGCATTAACGAAAACATCCTGCTGCCAAAGGTTTGACCCAGACGGCAGGAAACTGGACTCTTGTTTGGTCTCCAACGCAAAGAGCGGCCGCTAAGAGACAAAGGGAACAGTGACCCCGCACAACGCAAAGCATCAGGCCCAAGTCCTGGGTCTTCTGCCAGCTTGGTTTGAATGCAAGCCAGCAAGGAAAGGGAACACACAGTACGCAAGCCACAGACCCAGGTCCCTTCTGGACCCCGGCCACTGCAAGCTAAAATTCACAGTTTAGATTGCTGCTGAAATGACCGGCCGGTTAAGCTTTTCATCGCTGTCACTGCAGGAAACACAGGAAAAAAATGGCCGGTGAGCCGGTCCAGCTGAGACTTAGGCACAGGTTACGGACTTCTGTCCTCCTCCTCCTCGCCCCGGGCTTTGCGCCAAACTACACATTACGGCAGCCACAGGCCCAACCTGTGGCTGCCGACACCACGTTAAAGGAAAATTTAGCCGTTTAACAATACTGCCATGAGAGTTGGGCTGCAGCAGCAAGAAGTGAGCCATCCCCCACAGTACCTTTTTAAGTGCCGAAACAGCTGGGAGGAAGTATTTTGGCACTCGGAAAGGCATGTGGGGGACAAGATCACCTGGTGCGGCTGTATGCAGGCTCGTGGCAATTTTCAGACGACTGAATTTTCCTCTAAACTGGTGTCTGCAGCCATGTGGTCAGACCTGTGGCTGCCGGAACGCATAGTTCAGCCATTATCCTAGTGTCTTGGCTGATTGGTTTTGGCAAGTTAAGTATCGCCCGCGAGCACGGAAGCATCAGCACAAGTGGCCCCTTTTAGACTACAAATGAGTAACATAACTATGCAAGGGCAAACAGGGTAACAAACATATTTATGGGTTAGTAACTGCTGTGGATTTATTTGCCCTAGCCCCCCTCTAACTGGAAATCTGGTGTCAGTTGTAGACTTCTGGTTCCCCATTAGAGCCCCGTTGCATCTACTCCTAACTATACGGCAAGTACCAACGGAAGAAAACAGCATTTAAAAACAGAAGCCGTGTCCATCATGCAGCCTAAAACAAGGTGAATAAAATGCTTACAAACGGCACGCTTCCAACTGCAAGTTTCAAAGCGTGGTGCTCCTCCGGGAACAGCGATGAAGGGAAGTGAGTCGAATCAGTTTGAAATACAATTTTCTTCTGGTGTGTTCCTTCTGTGCGCATACCAGTTTCCAGACCCGTTTCAGAATGGTCTGAAATCCAGCACGTGCATCTACAGCTGCATGGAACAGTGCATGCACCACACAGATCTGGGACCACCTGTTGAAACGAATGACCATCCAGCAACACGCTGCAGTTTCATGGTGCTTAAGGTCATTCCCCCCCCCTTTCATCCACCCTATCAGCCAAGCATGTCCGTCCCTCCCACTGGCCAAACGAATTCTGCGTCACTGTCCAATTAACAATTTGTTGGAGCACTTTAATCCTGTGAGATTCACTTGGCTTGGGTTGGAGGCTAGTTGGGCAAGAAGCCTCTAAAAAAATACAAAACAATTTCCAGGAAGGTACTGGAAAGACATTGTTCCAGTGATAGAGCAGGGCAGATGACCACCTTGCAAGATGTCTTTTCCCCATAAGGCTGGGCCACTTGCCACTGGTACCAGGATGAAGGTTTCTCATCTGTCTTATTCCACAGTCTGTGTGTGTGTCTGTGTATGGGACACAATCCGGTGGTTTGCCATTTACTTCATCACACAATGGCAGCCACTATTCCCGCCTTTCCCATTTCTAAAAATTGATCTGGAACATGTGCAAACTCATGAAATAAATACTTGTTTACAGCTATATGTTATGTGATGTAGCCCAAAATCTACTGAAGGACGGTTTGAGAGACATGGGCATTTAAGGCCCACTACTACCATAAACTCACTGTCCTGTCTTAGCTGAATCACTCCTTTCAGCCTCTTACAGCGCAATGATAAACAGAGTTATACCCTATTTGTTGGAATATACAAGGTCTATAGTGCACCTACTTGAAGAAGATCAGAAGAACAGCCTATAGGGGATAGTTGAATGACTGCTAGTTAGCATGGCTAGATTAGGGACTTCCCACAATTTCAAATTCTGTCCTTCCTGCCTCTGGAGACTTCCTGCTCCAACTGAGCCCTCTCCGCTTCGTTCCTGTCTCTTCACAGCAGTTAGCCAGTTAGTCAAGCCTCTCTCCTTTTCTGTTCTATCGGTGTTTATTTCTTCTTTGATAAACCGAGTTATTTTCCTTAAACAGTTGGTGCTCCATTCCTCTGCGTGTTTAAACTCTGCCAACCCTTTCCCACTGACTTCAATAGACTTAGATAGGTGCAACTCTGCTTAGGATAGCATTATCAGTTCCCCCATCTGCCAGGAGACTAAGCTAGACTGCTATCCTAACAGGAAGGACAGTCCTGGGTGGATGGGAAGCAGATGGCATGATACTTTGAACACTCCACAGAAGAAGACTTCAAGTCAATTGGCTCACAGAACAAGAAGTCCTAGAGGAGCACTGCATCCAAATTACATGTCCGGCTTTCTGCTTGCAAAAACAAGCTTCCCTAAACAGCCAAAGCGAATAAGAGAAAAGTCTTACCTGTTATAAATGTCATCGTCTTCACCTCCCCAACCCCAATAATTATTGGGAAACCCGTTGATTTTTTCAAATTGCACCTTGCTCAAGGCAGATACACCTCCAAAATACTGATTATAAGGCAAGCTGGAAGAGAGACAGGGAAGCCGTTAATCAGGTCAGGGCCAGCTACTGTAGAAGAGGACTGAACCGTTTTTTGAACCGCTAGCAACAAGCAGGGGACTAAAGTAATGCGAACAGATGTAACATCAGGAATTTCAAGACACATGCCATCAACACTAGCCTCCCAAGCTTCCCAGTATGTGAACTAAGACAAAAGAAACATCTATGCAAGTATTCTCACATTAACAATCTGTGTTGGGGGGGAAATAATCTGAGAACCAGTTTTCTGAGTTCCAAACCAGTCGTGTCCTGGGAGTTCCATATTTGGAACTCTCTGATTTTTTTTTAATCTTAATTTTCAGGCGTTTGGGGACCTGATACGGATCAGGACCACAGCACACAGGGAAGTGGATTTTAACCTCTCTCTTTGTACCATTTTCCCAACCTGCAATGGCCCAGGAAGTATCTGTTTACTATGTTGGGCTAAATTTACAGTTTCTGGTTAGGGAAACAGAAAAGAGCTAGGTTTGAGTCCAGGAGCACTTTAGAGACCAACGGGTCTGGCAGAGGGAGCTGACTCTTGAACGCTTATCCCCTGGAAGTCTTGTTGGTCTTTGAGGTGCGGCGGGACTCGAATCTTGCTCTCCTACTGCAAACCGACACAGCTACCCACCTGAAACGGGTTAGGAAAATGATAATGGTGGGGAGGAGCCTTAAACTCCCCTTCATTGTGTGCTGCGGGCCTGATCCAAATTGGCTGCCGCGTGCCTGAAAATTAGGTTTTAAAAAATCATCAAGAATGCCAAACACGAAACTCCCAACACTCAGCTGGTTTGGCCATGAGACCGTAGCAAAGGATAGGCCTTCCCTCCTGTGCAATCGGTATTTGGATCCCGCCCTACTGAAGGCATCCCGGCCCAAGGGGAGGACGCATGGGTATTTGCATTCAGGCATGTGTCACTCCGATCCTTTTCAGTGAACCACAATGCCTTTTGGCTCTGAGATGGTGAAGAGGTTATTCTGAAAGGGGAACTAGAAATACAGCAATGTACTTGATCTGGGGCATCACACCCATTCTCTACTGCTTGAGGCTGCGGTACTGATGCAACCTTACTTAACCCACACAACTTTCAACAGTGTGGAGTTCACGGTCACACCCGGAAATCAAGTATGTTCCAGGAAGTTAGTGGCAAGGAGTGTGAAACCCATCCTGCACAGCTGCAATGTTTTTTGAGTGTGTGTGTGTGTGGCTTATCAATGTAGAGGAACAGCGATGCAGATGTTTCCTTGAAAATGATAAATTAACCAAGAATTTGACAATCACTTTGCAAACTTTGTGTGTGAAGCAATGTTCCCTCTAAGCTGTGGAGTCTAGTGAGCAAAAATTCTACTTTGTGAGTTACTGGCATTAAAGTTGTGCGCGAGCGATTTGGCTGCTGCATAAATTAGTTTGCTCTGGAGCCATCCGTCCTGAGCTAAGAGAAAAATGTGTGAGCCAGAGGCTAAAAAAGTGTGAGCTAGCTCACACGAACTCAGCTTAGAGGGAACACTGGTGTGAAGGTCTTGAATGTGTTGAGAATAAAAGCCCATGATTTCTTAAAAAAACATGAGAATTTACTAACTGGAAATTTGCTGAAGACTTTTCCCCTTCAAGACACATAAACAATACAATGAAATGACAGCATTATTTTCAGAGTAATTTCAGTTACAGTGGATGACAATGATTTTTCATTCCCCCCCACCCCCAGCAGCAATAGAAAATATATTACGGGAAACGTATCAGCTTTTATTTTTTCTTCTCTTTGTTAAAAGCTCAGGTTTCCAGGTAATACTCTCTTGTCCCAATAGCTGCAATCTGTTTGCTTTATCCAAACCCCTTAATTGGGACCCCATGCCAGTCAGAGTAGGCAATACTGACCTTCGATAGATTAAGGGTCTGTCTGTCTTAGGAAGCCTATGTGTTCATGTTGCTTACCAACTGTGGAAAGATAAAACCACTGACCAACTCCTCCCTGCCAAATCCAAAGGACTGACCATGCAGAAGAACGTCACAGGTTCAGTTCCTGACATTTCCAGTGAAGAGGATCAGATACCAGAAAACCCTTGATTGGGACCCCCTGCCAGTCAGAGTAGGCAATACTGACCTTCGACAGATGAAGGGTCTGTCTGTCTTAGGCAGCCTAATGTGTTCATGTTGCTTACCAACTGTGGGAAGATAAAACCACTGACCCACTCCTCCCTGCCAAATCCAAAGGACTGAGAGCCAGTTTGGTGTAGTGGTTAAGAGCGACGAACTCTAATCTGGAGAACCGGGTTTGATTCCCCACTCCACCACATGCAGCCAGCTGGGTGACCTTGGGTAAATCACAAGTTCTCTCACAGCTGTTCTCTCAAGAGAAGTTCTCTCAGAGCTCTCTCAGCCCCACCTACCTCACAGGGTGTCTGTTGTGGGGAGAGGAAGGGAAGGAGATTGTAAGCCGCTCTGGGACTCCGAGTGAAGGGTGGGGTATAAATCCAACTCTTCTTCTTCCTCTCCCCACAACCTCATTACTTCTCTGCTGCCTTTGATACAGTTGACCATTCTCTCCTGACTAACTCCCTCCACACCCTAAATTTCCTTGATTCTGTCCTGAGCCAATCTCTTATTCAGTGTTTCCACAGGCAGAAGCTTTTCCTCTGGTTTCCTTCTCTCTGAGATCCCTGCTGTATTTGTTCTCTTTCTACATACCTTGCTGAGGAGAACCACCCCAAGTAAGGCCCTGGTTATTAATCCATCATTGATGTCAACAGATACGCTGTCACATGACTGTGCGGCAAATAAACGTTACCGATCGATCTCTTACCGAAATCCAAATTTGTCCATAGACACAGAGAGGTGCCTGGGCTGTTCGTAACACTTGTAGGTATTTCTGTCATCCATAGGGATCAGATCGACATCGCTAAACACAAAGCAGTTGTAATCGTATTCTTTCAAAGCTTCGGTGAAGCCTATGTTCAGAAGTTTCGCGCGGTTGAATGTTTCGTCTCCTCCCTGATACGAGAAAAAGAAGAGCGATTCAACACCTGAAGCGGAGCCCACCCAACATTTCGCTTATCCACTGAAGCCCTGAGCCTTCACAATCAGCGATGCAAGCATGCAAGGGGGGAGGGGGGGGAGAATCATTCAAGCTTGTTACATGCCATTTGTTTTTCTGTCCAGCTTAAACTAAAAATTAGTGTTTTGCTTTCTTCACAGGCCTTCAGTTGGACGCTTGTGTAGGCTGAAACACAGATGAAGCCAGTGGGGTGGGTGGGTAAGGTTGCCAGTTCCAGGTTGGGGAACTCCTGGAGATTTGGGGGTGGAGCCTGGGGGGGAACAGGGACTTTACTGGGGTACAAAGCCATGGAGTCCACCCTCCAAAGCATCCATTTTCTCCAGGGGATCTCTGTAGTATGGAGATGACCTGTAAATCCACTGATCCTAAACGGAGGCTGGAATCCCTAAGTGTCCTTACACTATCAAATTTACAGCAAGTGCCACCCTCCATGTCTTCCTTTTCCTTCCTTCCTTCCCTCCCTTCCTCCCTACTTTTGGGAGAAAGACCAGCCTCACCCAGCTAGCAGATCAGGTGATCAATGGATCTGCCAAACCAAATCTGAATGTTTCTGTGTTACTCTAGTGCATTGATAGTCAGTGGCTCAGGAGCCGCATGTGGCTCTTTAAGAGGCCACCTGTGGCTCTTCAGAGCACCATTCCCCAATGTGGCACCTGCCCCATGTTTCAAGAGGCTGGGGCACGCCATTGCCCAGTAGGGCTTGTGGACGGCAGACAGTTCGCACCTTGAAACAGCCACCACTGGAGGGACTAAACATATGGGAAAGCTGCTAGCTTTTCTGACATGCAGGCCTCATGCCAGGGATGGAAGGGCCAATCCCTTCCAGCAACCCCCAAACATGCCTTTCTCCACAGCCTCTGGTTATGGTTGTACATTTAATATACAGTTCTATTGTTGTGTGGGTGTGCTTGGTGGAGTGGTGCACCGGGCATGCAAGAGTCATGTGGCTCTTTTGGCTGATGGTAATGGCAAATGTGGCTCTTCACAAGCCACGGAGTAAGTACCCCTGCTCTAGTATTTCTGCCTCTGTGCTCATTCCTGCATGCTGCTTCCAAACCTCGAAGTCATCTCTGATTGGTGGTAGGCGAGTCAGTAGGCATGATTGTGACATCTTCTCCTAAGGAACTACATGTCCCTTTTAAAAGATCTGAACCACAATGCAGCAGAAAGCGTGCTGGTGCACCAGTTGTCCTACACCATGCACCATAAACATATGGAACAAGCGACTATCATCATAAGGAGTCCTCTATTGCCCTTCATGGTCTTCAGCTGAGTCACTTTTTACAGAGTCACTGCTTCTTCAGACCTCTCAGCTTCCTGAACATTTCAGCATTTGTAGAAGAAGAGAAGAAGAGATTGGATTTATACCCCGCCCTTCACTACCCAAAGGAGTCTCAGAGAGGCTTACAAATTCCTTTCCCTTCCCCTCCCCACCACAGACACCCTGTGAGGTAGGTGGGACTGAGAGAGCTCTGACAGAAACTGCTCCTTTTCAAGGACAGCTCTTATCAGAACTATGGCTTGCCCAAGGTCATCCAGCCAGGTGCAAGTGGAGGAGTGGGGACTCAAACCCGGTTCTCCCAGATTAGAGTCCTTGCACTTAACCACTACACCAAACTAGAACAGGTAGGGATCCAAATTTCCCCCCATCCATCAAGTATATCAGATACTCAAAAACTAGCTGAGTTTCAGGACACTCTAAGAGTGTTAAAACAAATACCACCACTACCAATAATTCAAGTGAGTCAACAAAATTCTAGCCAAATTTATAATTTAAAGAGGGGAGATCTACTAGCTCCAGACCGAAACTTTCCCTGTCTTGGAAACACAAGTAATTAGACTAGCGGTTCGGAGAGTTTCTTTTTTTTGTTGGTAAACAAATTTTATTTTCTCAGGAATACAACATGTAAGATTAAATCATTTCATTCTATCAATTGTCTACCCCATTCCCAATTCCTAAAATCTTGTAATCATTATTCAAAAGAGAAATTGGCCTATAGTTTTTCACATTCGTTGGTTCTTGTCCTTCCTTTGGTATTAATGAAATAATTGCTTCCTTCCAAGAGTCTGGTTCGGAGAGTTTCTAAATTATATGGATTCCTGGCTTTAGCCATCAATGTTAAAAAAAAAATGTTAAGGAAAAGATGTTTTCCTTATTAAAAAAATAAAGCTACTCTTTATGATAAACCTTACATGAGCGATCAAGATCAGATTCTATTGCCCTGACATGGATAGCTCAAGCAAGCCCGATCTCGGCAGATCTCGGAAGCTAAACAGGGTTGACTCTGGCAAGTACTTGGATGGAAATACCAGCAGTTGGGAGGTGGAGGGGGGGAAGCTTTATTCAGCCTCTTCTCTGAATATCCTCAGTCACCAGAGGTCGCCATGACTTCCAGGTGCACGCACACTCACATGCATACATGAAAAATACAAAACCCCCCCCAAAAAAAAACAACCCAAAAAAGAGAGAGATCAGATTCTATTAAGGACAGACAGAATGAATGACAGCAGATGGCACAAAGCGCTATAAGTAGTCATATCTTGACATGATTTGTTTCCACAGAACCGTCATTGCTGTTGACTTTCCCCATTCTTCACCTTTTTCTGTTTTACTGTCCAATAAGTCAGAGTGACCTGGAAGGTTTTAAATATAGTTGGGAGTATCATCCAACTAGATCTGGCCCACTGTTTCTTTGTTGGCCTGGCCACGGTTCCTTTCTTTGGCCACAGAAAGTTGGAGTATGGCATAACAAACCTAGACTTTATGCTTACCAAGAGAAGAGACTGTAAGAGGGCCAGCAAGGCTAGGGTCATACCGTTAAATGTAACATAGCAGTAGACATGGTCCTATGTACTTTGTAAACATTTGCATTGGGCTACTGTCTACCACATGGATGTATGCAGGCTGAACTCCTGCTGGCATCCTTCAGTCCTAAATTCAGGACTGAATCACCCTGAGTTACCCTGGCTACTATTCTGGGCCATGTTGCAACTGGAGGACAGATAACAGGAAATATGGGGGAAAGCTTCCTTTTTAGGACAGAAATATGGCACAGAGTGTTGAGGACTCCACGAAAATTCTGTAACAGTGTTTGCATGTAATCCACAGTAGATGCTACCACGATGTCACAAAAGGGGTTTCTGGGTATCCCTCAGATGCCTACTAAGTTGTGTACAAATTTAGGCTGTTCAAAGACAGTGAACTGTAATCCTGCTGAAACTGACTGTAACTTTGGCAAGAGTCCCACTATCCTGGGGTGGAGGGAAACAAACTAAAAAGTTCCCGTATCAATTTGTCATGTGTGACTGATCCACTTCTCATCACTATACTAATTCTGAGGTCCTGGCCCTCAAGTGGAAAGCAAAACCTGCATGAATGTTATCAGGGCATTCAGTGCAAGTCCATTGTAATCACTGGGCTTAAGAAGGCGTGGCCTTGCTTACAAACCCACTTTTTTGGCAAGTTTGCTCAGTTGCATGCATGGTGGCACAGTGAAATGACTAGGTTGCCATGGGTATAGTTCAGCTCAAAATTAATTAATTATCATATGGCATTGTGTGTGGAAGAGCCAGGAGATCCTGGAAAGGATTGTTTGGCCGCCGAAGCTGTAGCTCTTTTTTGGCACCACTAGATGGCGAGCTATGCTTATACTTAGGCTGAGAGTACTGTGGCTTGCCCAAGGTCACCCAACTAGCTTCAAGTGGGGAAGTGGAGAATCGAACCTGGTTCTCCAGACTACAGTCCGTCGCTCTTAACCACTACATTAAACTGGCTCTCAGTTCAGCTCACATACACTACCTACCCACACACCGAACACTTTGGGTACATGAAATAATCCCACCTTCTGTGGTGGCTTGACAAAAAAAAGGATAGCCTAACATGAGCCTACAAAATGGTTGTTTCTGAGAAGTCTAACCTGTCCTCTGCCAACCCTGCAAAAGCAACAAGCACAGATGGTTCTGGAGCATTCTTACCACTTCGATGTAAACTTAGTTTTGTGCCCATCTAAGTATGCTACCATCATAGCACCTAATATACCATTAGAAAAGGCGCAGGTTATCTTCTGTTAATCATACTGAGCAGGCAGATGGCTAATGTATTCCATGGCTGCGATCAGATAAAAATACACACACTTGATCTTAGCCAAAAGGCCGAGAAGCAAAGATAAAAATACAAATTATACCGTAAAACTGTAATTCAGGTCAGTAATTAACTCTAGCTCACAGATCATTAGTACTGAAAACGTCATGCTGGAACAGAGAAGGAGCTCCTGTTCTCATTGATTCAGTAATTATCTTCATGGTGTTAAAAGGCATAAGAGAGAGGCCACTCTGCAAAGAGTACATCAGACTCAGTGAAGGTACACCAACTCGGGGCTTACCAGCTGCTGTCCTTTATACAGTTTGTATCTCTGGTACCCGGCGTGGCCCAGCCGACAAAGTGACATGTATGTCAGATCCGGCCCTCGTAACAAATGAGTTCGAGATCTTGGTCGAGCATGTGCCCTGGCGTCTACTTCCAATGCTTAATCTCCTCTCCCACTCTAACTAGCTATATCTTCTCCACCATCCCTGGATTAGCCATTAAACAAAATAAGCATGTACTTAGGGCACCACGGGAAGGGGGGCAACCTTGAAGATGAATTGTTTTTCTCAGTCATTCCTTCTGTTATGACTATTCATAAGAAACGATAGGCAGTGGAGACGCGAGCACCGAGAAGGGGGGAAAGCAGCAGAGGCAACCATGCCAGATGCCTTGTCTCTGCTAAGTACAGAAGCGGATTTGTTACGCCAGATTAGTTTTGAGGACTTGATAAAAGACTTTGCAATTTAAAAAAAAGTAGGAGAAAACTTTTAAAAGCATAAATAAGGTTATAAGTAGGCAACAATAAGCATTATTTTGCATCTTTTGATCCATGACTAATGAAATGCGATA